TTTAAAAAATATTAAAATTTGAATCAAATCACACCGTAAACACTCCTAAGTTAACCTCATAACCCATTGTTGCGGATTTTTTTTTTTTTTTGGGTTTCAATGAAAGGTACTCTTTTTCCATTTTATTCCTTTTTTTTTATTGTTAAATGTTTTATGCCCCTAGCTAGTTCCTCTCTATCTAATTTTTTTTTATAAATTAAAATGATAAGTAATATAATAAAAAATATTTTTTTTCTTTTCAAATTCTTCCCAACTTATTTTCTCTTTCCAAATTCTTTCAACCTATTTCAAGATTTGAACTCAACATTATTTTTTTGATGCAGGACAGTAGGAGTAACATCTAAAATGGACTTGGAAACATTTCTGAATTTTCAGCTGGCAGAAAATAAAATACAGGGGATTATATTTTTGTTCTTCAATCATGAAGTTGGAGTCTTGGCTTGACAATAAGAAAAACAGGCTCCCTGATAATTATATAGCATCTGCTACTGTTACACAGAGAGCAAAGAAAATCAATATTTTCCCTTTTGAGTACTGGTAATAGATGTGGGACAATGAGTTAGACTTTGACTTGTCCATGGACTGTGCCTTAATTTGTGGGGTATATCTATCGTAATATGATAAATCCTCTGTGTCTTTAATCCACAGTAATTTCATCTTCATTGCATTTATCTCTTCTAAGTGTTGAGGTTTCTCCATGGTGTGTCGATACCTCAATGTCAGTTGTGTGGTCACATCTCTTACCAATAGCAACTAGTTTTTTGTACAAATGAAGCATGGTTGGCCATTGATCTGAATATGGTTGAACACAGTCCAACGCAGCCTTTAGAAACTGAAAGATTTCCTGATCAAATCTCTGCCCCATCAGAAATTAATCGACAATGCTACAGAAATTAGAGCTTGCAGAGAGATGTGTAACCCAATTGTTGAGTGTCTCATTTCTAGTGTTTTGAGTATGTTGCCATGCTTCTAGGATCATCTCTAGTGATCAGCCCAAGAGGCAAAATTCCAAAGCAATAGACATCCTCTTTAGCAAAGCTTGATTCCCAAAACTCACTATGAACCAAGAAGCTTTCAGTTGAATCAGTGCCATATGATTTTAGGAGCAATGCCTCTCCAAAGTTTGATAACTTGGGAACAAAGTTCTCATCAAGTAAGACACACTTGGAGCTAATGTGAAGATGAACAACATGAAAATAGCACTCTTGATGGAGCCAAACCAGGCCTCTTGCTGCTCCATTTGCAATTTTAACCCTTAAGGGCCACTCCATGATTCTTGCCTCACCTTCGTTATGATATAGCCAATCATAAAGACTACCTTTTGACATGTATTTGTAAACCAGAAGCCTTTCCTTTGAGTGTATGCAGAATCCAAGGAGCGGTACAAGGTTCTTATGCCTCAATCTACCTAGTGTCTTCAATTCCGCTGTGAAATGCTCATCAAATAGGCAAGTGTCATGTAATCTCTTCACCACAACGAGCCATCTATTCAACAGAACTGCCTTGTAGGTTGTCCCCATCTGTCCAATTCCAGTAATGTTTTCTTTGTTAAAATTGTTTGTCAGTTCACTAATTTCTGTATAACTCAATCTTGAAACTAGTTTCACTAGGATAAAAGTCAGTGATTAAGATCCAGCGCTACAATATTATACCAAATCAAAGAACAAATATGGTGACTAATTAAGAAGACAGACCTATAGAAACTTTTAGTTGAGCTCTGAGAGTGCAACATGTCTTACAGACCATAGAAGAAATTAAAGCATGGAAAGGAGAGAAGGGAAAACTGAAAAAAAAAAAGGCATACTGAGATATTATTTAGTGATATGAAACTGTTACATAAAAAGTCTTTATATAGAGGCTACTCCCATAATTACATAAATCATACCTTATAATATCTCTATCATCCCCCTCAAACTCAAGGAGTTTGATATAGCAAATCATCATGGTGCATCGACACCTAATCACAAAAATTGTCTTGATCTTGAAGTCAATATGTAAGTGAGAAGGAAGAAGAAATCATGAAGCTAGAAACACCTTGAAGCTTTTGTTTACTGAAGGTGAAACGTGAGAATCTGCCCAG